CACTGAACGCGACCTACAAGAGATCCTGAACACCTACGCAGATGCTTATGCACACTTCAACCTTGAGATGAATGTACGTTAGACTCAGATTCTCTTTCAGCCTGCCCCTGGTTCAGCCACACCTCCACCATCCACCCAGCTTAACGGTACTACCCTCTCTAATGTTGTCCACTTTCAATGTCTCGGTTCCCACCTGTCGACCACCGCGGACGTCGATGAAGAGATTCAACATCGGATCAGATGTGCATCTCGAGCCTTTGGCAGACTCCGTACCCGTGTCTTCAGCTGGAGGGAGTTGAAATTATCTGCAAAGTTGCACGTATTTCGAGCAGTGGTCCTCCCCACCCTGCTATATGGAAGCGAGTCATGGGTCACATACAGGAGGCACCTCAAGACACTTGAAAACTTTCACCAATGTAGTCTATGTTCCATCTTCCGAGTTCGCTGGGAAGACAAGAGAACAAATGCCAGTATTCTCGCTGACACCAACTGTAGGAGTATCGAGGCTACCATTATTCATGAACAACTATACGCTGGACTGGCCATGTTACCCGCATGGACGACAGTAGACTGCCAAAGCAGCTACTTTACAGTCACCTAACGAATAGTAAACATAACGTTGGCGGGCAACTGAAAAGGTATAAGGATAGTCTTAAGACAAACCTGAAAAAGTGCCAAATCGACCCCCCTCACCTGGGAGACGATTACTCCACACCGTTACGCTTAGAGGAGCACCACATGAGGTGTCAATACTTTCGAGTTAGCCCGATTGGAAACCGAGGCAGACAAGTGCCAACGCCGGAAAGATGCTGCCGCCGCCCCTCCCGCACTAGATGTAGCCCCCCATATGTGCATCATCTGTGAACGATTCTGCCGGTGGTCCCGTATCGGCCTCTTTAGTCACCTTAAAACTCACCAACCAAGGTGACATCATTTATAACTCATATCATTGTATCATAGCTGGATGATCGTCATACTCGATTCCGAGTGACAGCAAAGTAGTAGTAGTAGTAGTAGTAGTGTGTGTGTGTAAAAAGAGAGAGAGAGAGAGAGAGAGAGAGAGAGAGAGAGAGAGAGAGAGAGAGAGAGAGAGAGAGACTAAAAATGCAGACAAACAAACATCACGGTCACTGTCCCTATATACCCCGGACAGTGACTCCTTTGTGTGGTAGTGACGTGGTACTGTCCCAGTACTGGCCTGGACGGCTGAGGTCATAATCTTCCTCGACAAAGCATTTATTCACATTCATAAACTTTATTCCCAAACATCAGTGTAAAAACAGGTCAGCCATAAGTTACAGGTACAGCAATAAGTTACAGGTACAGCCACAAGTTACAGGCACATCCATAAGTTACAGGTACAGCCACAAGTTACAGGTACATCCATAAGTTACAGGTACAACCTTAAATTACATGTACAGCCATAGTTTCAGGTACAGCCATAAGTTACAGGTACAGCCATAAGTTACAGGTACAGCAATAAGTTACAGGTACAGCCATAAGTTACAGGCACATCCATAAGTTACAGGTACAGCCACAAGTTACAGGTACATCCATAAGTTACAGGTACAACCTTAAATTACATGTACAGCCATAGTTTCAGGTACAGCCATAAGTTACAGGTACATCCACAAGTTACAGGTACATCCATAAGCAGGTACAACCTTAAATTACATGTACAGCCATAGTTTCAGGTACAGCCATAAGTTACAGGTGCCCTTAACACTATCTCCCTTTAAAGGTATATAAAAGTAAAAAGTACAGGAAAATATACGTACAGGTACAGGTAGAAATACATAGAGGTAATTAAACACACAGGTAGAGACACAGGTATACAATGAAGCCAATCTTCCAGCTCTTTGTTGACTATTTATACTCCACAGTCATCATCCATTTTTTCCTTCCCCACCCCTTTCTTTGTCCCCCTTTTTAGCTCTAGGGAGGGGAGGAGGGGAGGGTGGGGGAAGGTCCTTGGTCTCTCCTTCTGTGGCTCGTAGGGTGACTCAGGGTGATTCAGGTGAGTCAGGAGGGTGAAAGTCTGGTGATGGTCAAATGAAGTCGTGAGTTTAGGCTGCTACCAGGATTTGGGGAGGGGAGGAGGAGGGGAGAGGGAGAGGAGGAAGAAGGAGGAGGAAGGAAGGAAGGAAGGAAGGGGAGGGGAGGGAGAGGGGAGGGGAGAAGGAGGGAGGGAGGGGGAGGGGAGGGAGAGGAAGGAAGGAAGGAAGGAAGGGAGGAGGGAGAGGGAGGAAGGAAGGGAGGGAGGGGGAGAAGGAAGGAAGGAAGGAAGGAAGGAAGGAAGGAAGGAAGGAGGGAGGGGAGGGAGAGGGAGGGGAGGAGGAAGGAAGGAGGGAGAGGAAGGAAGGAAGGAAGGAGGGGATGGAGGGGAGGGGAGAGGAGGGGGGAGGAAGGGAGGGAGGGAGGGAGGGAGGGAAGGGAGAGGGGGAGAGGAAGGAAGGAAGGAAGGAAGGGAGGGAGGGAGGGAGAGGGAGGAAGGAAGGGAGGGAGGGAGGAAGGAAGGAAGGAAGGAAGGAAGGAAGGAGGGAGGGAGGGGAGGGAGGGAGAGGGGAGAGGGGAGGGGGGAGGAAGGGAGGGAGGGGGGGAGGGGAAGGGGAGAGGGGAGAGGAAGGAAGGAAGGGAGGGGAGGGAGGGGAGGGAGGGAGGGGAGGGGAGGGAGGAGGGAGGAAGGAAGGAAGGAGGGGAGGGAGGAGGGAGGGAGGGGAGGGGAGGGGAGAGGGAGAGGGGAGGAAGGAGGAGGGGGAGGAGAGGGGAGGGGGAGGGGAGAGGGAGGAGGGAGGGGAGGGAGGGGAGGAGAGGGAGGGGAGGGAGGGGAGGGAGGGAGGGGGAGGGGAGAGGGGAGGAGAGGGAGGGAGGGGAGGGAGAGGGGAGGGAGAGAGGGAGGGGAGGGGGGGGAGGGAGGGGAGGGAGGGGAGGAAGGGAGGGGAAGGGAGGGGAGAGGGAGGGGGGAGGAAGGGAGGGAGGGAGGGAGGGAGGGAGGGAGGGAGGGAGGGAGAGGGAGGAAGGAAGGGAGGGAGGAAGGAAGGAAGGGGAGGGAGGGGGGGAGGGAGGGGGAGGGGGAGGAAGGGAGGGAGGGAGGGAGGGAGGGAAGGGGAGAGGGAGAGGAAGGAAGGAAGGAAGGAAGGGAGGGAGGGAGGGGAGGAGGGGAGAGGGAGGAAGGAAGGGAGGGAGGAGGAGGAAGGGAGGGAGGGAGGGGGGGAGGGAGGGGAGGAGGAGGGAGAGGAGGAAGGAGAAGGGAGGGAGGGAGGGAGGGGAGGGAGGGGAGGGAGAGGGGAGAGGGAGGGAGGGAGGGAGGGAGGAGGGAGAGGAGGGAGGAGGTTACACAGATAGATAGATAGATAGATGAATGTGTTTCACCACCACAGGTTTTCTCACCCCTGCCATTGTTGTGTTGACTGTGTTTCAGGAAGGGGAGGGGAGGGAGAGAGGGGGAGGAGGGAGGGGGGAGGAGGAGGGGGGGAGGGGAGGGGGAGGAGGGGAAGGGGGAGGAGGGGAGGGGAGGAGGAGGGGAGGAGGAGGGAGGGGGGGAGGGGAGGAGAGAGGGGAGGAGAGAGGGGGGAGAAGGAGGGAGGGGAGAAGGAGGGAGGGGGGAGGGAGGAGAGAGGGGGGGGAGGGGAGGGGAGGGGAGGAGGAGGGGAGGAGGGAGGAGGAGGGGAGAGGGGAGGAGGAGGAGGGGAGGAGGAGGGGAGAGGGGAGGAGGGAGGGGAGAGGGGAGGAGGAGGGGAGAGGGGAGGGAGGAGGGAGGGCAGGGAGGAGAGAGGGGAGGAGGGAGGGGGGAGAGGAGAGAGGGGAGGGAGGGGAGGGGAGGGAGGAGGGGGGAGAGAGGGGGGGAGGGGAGGAGGGAGGGGGGAGGAGGAGAGGGGGAGGAGGGAGGGGAGGAGGAGGGAGGAGGAGGGAGAGGGGGAGGAGGGAGGGAGGGGAGGAGGAGGAGAGGGGAGGAGGAGGGGAGAGGGAGGAGGAGAGAGGGAGGAGGAGGGGAGGGGGGGAGGAGGAGGGAGGGGGAGGAGGAGGGAGGGGAGGAGGAGAGAGGGGGGAGAGGGAGGGGGAGGAGGGGAGAGAGGGGAAGGAGGGAGGGGGAGGGAGGAGAGAGGGGAGGAGGAGAGAGGGGGGAGGGGAGGGAGGGGAGGAGGGGAGGGGAGGGGGGAGGAGGGAGGGGAGGGGGGAGGGAGGAGGGGAGGGGGGGAGGGAGGGAGGGAGGGGGGAGGGAGGGGATGGGGAGGGGAGGGGAGGGGAGGGGGGGGGAGGGGAGGGAGGGGAGGGAGAGGAGGAGGAGGGGAGAGGAAGGGAGAGGAGGAGGGGGAGGAGGGATGGAGGGGGGGGAGGAGGGAGGGGGGGAGGGAGGAGGGAGGGGGGGAGGGGAGGAGAGGGGAGGGGGGAGGAGGGAGGTAGGGGGGGAGGGGAGGAGGAGGGGGAGGAGGAGGGGAGGGGAGAGGGGGAGGGGGGGAGGAGGAGGGGAGGAGGAGGAGGAGGGAGGGGGAGGAGGGGAGGGAGGGGGGAGGAGGAGGGAGGGGAGGAGGAGGGGAGGGGGAGGAGGAGGGAGGGGAGGAGGAGGGGAGGGGGGAGGAGGAAGGGGAGGGGAGGAGGGAAGGAGGGGAGGAGGGGGGGAGAGAGGAGGGAGGGGAGGAGGAGGGGGGAGAGGAGGAGGGGAGAGGAGGAGGAAGGGCAGGAGGGGTTAAGGGAAGGAAGGGAGGATGGGGGGAGTTGGGGGAAGGGAGGTTGAGGGGTGGAGGGTGAGAGGGATTACTGTATCAAAGTGGGGGGAGGTGAGGTGGGGGGGATGTTGCACCATCATTCACCACTTTCCTCCTGACACACACACACACACCTGTCGTTTCACCCCCTCCCTCTTCCTCCTCTTCCAAGTACACGCCTTTTGTTCGACATACCTAACCTAACCTAACCTAACCTAACCTAACCTAACCTAACCCTAACGTGATCGAATTATTAGGCCATATCAATATCGAGTCTCATTGGCTTGGTTAGGAATGGGGCCTGATATGACCGGGGCCCGATATTACCGGGGCCTGTTTGACCAGTCAGCGTCCCTTGGTACTCGGTCCTTTATCTCAACACTGGACCGCTTCTGGGTAGACTGCATGAGCTCTCACAGTCTCCCGCCGGCCCCACATACTCAACAGTCTCCTGCCGGCCCCACACAGTCAACAGTCTCCCGCCGGCCCCACACAGTCAACAGTCTCCCGCGGCCCCACAGTCAACAGCCCCGCCGGCCCCACACACTCAACAGTCTCCCTGCCGCCCCACAGTCAACAGCCCCCGCCGGCCCCACACTCAACAACAGTCTCCCGCTGGCCCCACACAGTCAACAGTCTCCGCCGGCCCCACACACAACAGTCTCGCCCCACACAGTCAACAGTCCCCGCCGGCCCCACGTCAACAGCCCCGCCGGCCCCACACTCAACAGTCTCCTGCCGGCCCCACACAGTCAACAGTCTCCGCCGGCCCCACACACTAAAGTCCCCGCCGGCCCCACACACTCAACGTCTCCCGCCGGCCCCACACGGTCAACAGTCTCCCGCCGGCCCCACACACCCACAGTCTCCGCCGGCCCCACACAGTCAACAGTCTCCCGCCGGCCCCACACACTCAACAGTCTCCTGCCGGCCCCACACAGTCAACAGTCTCCTGCCGCCCCACACAGTCAACAGTCTCCTGCCGGCCCCACACACTCAACAGTCTCCGCCGGCCCCAACACTCAACAGTCTCCGCCGGCCCCACACACTCAACAGTCTCCTGCCGGCCCCACACACTCAACAGTCTCCCCCCGGCCCCACACACTCAACAGTCTCCACGCCATTAATATACTTGGGTACTACTAATACATCACAGGAATTATACTAAATCCCCCTCCCCAAAATTATATATAAATCCATGACGATTATACCTGATGTGGCGCGTAAATAATATAATTGTTATATATTGAGAAAGATGGTGATGACTGTCAAGCGTGGCGGCGGGGTAGGCCTCTATGGGTAGGCCTATATAATCTCTCGTCATGTTATTACCAACAAAATGAATCTCTAAAACACCGAGTCTATAGTGAGCAAGAACGGCAAGTATTTCCTAATAATAATAATAATAATAATAATAATAATAATAATAATAATAATAAAAATAATAATAATAATAATAATAATAATAATAATAATAATATATATAATAATAATAATAATAATTAATAAAACAGGAACCCTAATTTCGGGAGTATCTGACCGATTTACTCCTGACAAACGTATAAAGCTCAGGTGTGTGTGTGTGTTCACCTGTACACGTCTGTCATAAGGAACCAAGGTGTATCTAGGGGTGATATACAGGGTGAAGTAGGTACTGTATACCATTAGTGTTTATTAATATGTTTACAGAATCTTAATACAGTAACCTGGGAGACGGTGAGGCTGGTGGTGGTCACACACTCACACACCACCTGTAGCTGTTGTTGTGGTCTTGGACTCTTCATCAGGTAACGTTTATAAATGAACCGAATTTTAAGACTCAATATAAAAATAAATAAAATAATTTAGATTTTTTTATTTGAAAGATGAAAGAAATTATTGGATTTTAAGGGAGAATCAAAGACATACTAGAAAGAGTTGCATCATCTCCTGTACTGACACATAACGAGACAGGAAACTCTGGACAGGTAAAGCATAATGTTAAGGGAGAGGTACACCTGGCGGCCACTCAGGTTACTATACCCAGTCACCAGTGTTCCCGGAATACACCACTACCACCACCACCACCACCACCTTTGTCTCTCTCTCGTTGTCTCTCTGACTAATGCCCGTGCTAGAAAAACACCGCCAGCACGAGGAGTCAACAGCGTCTGGCGTTCTCCTCCGCCAAATGAAGGTTCACCAGCCTTCAGCCTACCCGAGTAAAATTGTTTGGCGGACAAAATCATGGAGGACGTGTTTGTCAGTACAGGTGATGTGCCCCGCCACCATAAACCAAGTCTCCACCGCACCATAACAACCACCATGATACCATAACTCACTATCATTGTGGTAGAAAACGCTCACTACCATACGGGTGTGAGGTCTTGTGGTACACTTACATACCAGGAATAATTATTATGATCCACTGTTTGCTCGGGCTGCCGTGAGCACAACTGCCAGACGCGGGGACGGAAAACACATTCCTAGATGGTCCTTCCTCCCAGCCCAGCCCAGCCCAGCACAGGTGAGGGTGAGGCGTCCAGGTGGTGGGAGTCTTGACTCACCTCGGCCGCCATCTTAGTTGCTGCACTCACAAACAACTAACACGTGTGGTAGCACATAGGTGAGGCACCATGGAGGACAGGACAAAGATTCCTTACATCTACGAGAGCGTGTAGTCCTCAATACAGTACAATATGTCACGGCTTAAACTCGCCATAGTTATGGAATTGTGTCGAATGACGTTTCATCTGGTTCCAATAAATATTATTACTATTATCGTTATTATTATTATTACTATTATCAATATTATTATTATTATAATTTATTGTCATTATTATTATCATCATAATGACACACGCCCATTATCAGAGCAGTCAGTGACAGTCAGGGGTAGTGGTAGGTGATGGTGGGGGGATGCGTGGATGAGGGTTCACGCAGGTGCAAAAATACGTCGATTAGCGGTATAAACAACAGTAAGAGTTACCATGACAACCAGAGACGCCAGTTGGGCGCCGAGGACTGTATCAACAAGTTCGTCACAGTTGAGTCTCAGCGTTCGCACGCCAATGTTTCCTTCTCACTGGTTTACTATAACACAAAAATGGATTTTCAAAGATCCACATGATAATTGTCCTCTAATTGAAGCTCTCTGAAGGCATCTTACTGGCTCACTTAAACTGAGACACAACGATGGGTTTTCAAAGTTTTTAAGCTAAAATGTTAATTATATAATTTCCTGACTGGTGACGTGTGCACGCAACTCACTCACAGAATCTAAAACAGCTTCCAGAGTGCACCGAGACTTTACCATAACTAGGTAGATTTTCTAATCCCCAGTTGAGGGTAAAATATAGTAACTTAGGAACCTCTTACACTGTGCAGGTGTGGGCGATCACGAGGGGCGCCGTCACTGCCATGTTTGATGACGTAATGTTTATAAACAAACACGGAAGTTTCCCTCCACTCAATCAGCCGATGGGGGCAGCGGGAGGGAGGGAGGGAGGGAGGAGGGAGGAGGAGGAGGATTTAAAACCTCAATGTGGGATCAACAACACTCCAGAATTGAAGAGTTAGTAAACATTTTTATCACATCTACAGGTGTGTATCATGCAAACAACAACAACAACAACAACAATAACAATAACAATAATAACAATAATAATAATAATAATATTAATAATAATAATAATAATACTACTACTACTACTACTACTACTACAACTAATAATAATAATAATAATAATAATAATAATAATAATAATAATAATAATGCTAATAATAATAATAAAATAATAATAATAATAATAATAATAATAATAATAATATTAATAATAATAATGCTAATACTACTACTACTACTACTACAACTAATAATAATAATAATAATAATAATAATAATAATAATAATAATAATAATAATAATAATAATAATAATAATAATAATAATAATAATAATAATAATAATAATAATAATAATAATAATAATAATAATAATAATAATAATAATAATAATAATAATAATAATAATAATAATAATAATAACAATAATAATGATAATAATAATATCAACAACAACAAAAACAATAATAATAAACAATAACAATCAAATACTGTAAATAAATGTAAAACTACACTGTTTACTCCCACACATCACTGCGACGACGTAAATGAAGTCGTCTCCATGAGTGAGCGAGAGTCGTACTTCCCTGGTCAGTGTATCAGTGAAGCACAACACCTCACCTCCACTTCTTCCAGCCCGTCACAACACACACTCACCCCATCACCGCCCTCTTCTTCCAGCCCGTCACAACACACACTATATTCACCCCCTTCTTCCAATCCCATCACCGCCCTTCTTCCAGCCCTTCACAACACACACACTATACCCATCACTGCCCTCTTCCCAGCCCGTCAACACACACTATACCCCATCACTGCCCCTCTTCCAGCCCGTCAAACACACACTATACCCCATCACCGCCCCTTCCAGCCCGTCACAACACCAATTATACCCCCATCACTGCCCCTTCTTCCAGCCCGTCACAACACACACTATACCCCATCACCGCCTCTTCTTCCAGCCCCGTCACAACACACTATACCCCATCACCCCCTCTTCCAGCCCAATACCCATCACCGCCTTCTTCCAGCCCGTCACAACACACACTATACCCCATCACCGCCCCTTTCTTCCAGCCTCCGTCACAACAACACTATACCCCATCACCGCCCTTCTTCCAGCCCCGTCACAACACACATTATTCCCCATCACCGCCCTTCTTCCAGCCTCGCACAAACTATACCCCATCACCGCCCCTTCTTCCAGCCCGTCACAACACACACTATACCCCATCACCGCCCCTTTCTTCCAGCCCAGTCACAACACACTATACCCCATCACCGCCCCTTCTTCCAGCCCGTCACAACACACACTATACCCCATCACCGCCCTTCTTCCAGCCCTGTCACAACACACACTATACCCCCATCACCGCCCTTCTTCCAGCCCCGTCACAACACACACTATACCCCATCACTGCCCTTTCCAGCCCCGTCACAACACACTATACCCCATCACCGCCCCTTCTTCCAGCCCCGTCACAACACACACTATACCCCATCACCGCCCCTTCTTCCAGCCCAGTCACAACACACACTATCCATCACCGCCCTTCTTCCAGCCTGTCACAACACACTATACCCCATCACCGCCCCTCTTCCAGCCCGTCACAACACACACTATACCCCATCACCGCCCCTTCTTCCAGCCCGTCACAACACAACACTATACCCCATCACCGCCCTTCTTCCAGCCCGTCACAACACACACTATACCCCATCACCGCCCTTCTTCCAGCCAGTCACACACTATACCCCATCACGCCCTTCTTCCAGCCTGTCACAACACACACACTATACCCCATCACCGCCCCTTCTTCCAGCCCGTCACAACACACACTATTCCCCATCACCGCCCTTCTTCCAGCCCCAGTCACAACACACACTATACCCCATCACCGCCCCTTTTTCCAGCCCGTCACAACACACACTATACCCCATCACCGCCCCTTCTTCCAGCCCCAGTCACAACACACTATACCCCATCACCGCCCCTTTCTTCCAGCCCCAGTCACAACACACTATACCATCACCGCCCTTCTTCCAGCCCCAGTCACAACACACTATACCCCATCACCGCCCTTCTTCCAGTCCAACACACACACTATACCCCATCACCGCCCCTTCTTCCAGCCCGTCACAACACAACTATACCCCATCACTGCCTTCTTCAGCCCGTCACAACACACACTATATCCCCATCACCGCCCTTCTTCCAGCCAGTCACAACACACACTATACCCCATCACCGCCCTTCTTCCAGCCCAGTCACAACACACACACCCCATCACCGCCTCTTCTTCCAGCCCCGTCCAATACACACTATACCCATCACCGCCCTTCTTCCAGCCAGTCACAACACACACTATACCCCATCACCGCCCCTTCTTCCAGCCAGTCACAACACACACTATACCCCATCACCGCCCTTCTTCCAGACCCAGTCACGACACACACTATACCCCATCACCGCCCCTTCTTCCAGCCAGTCACAACACACACTATACCCCATCACCGCCCTTCTTCCAGCCCGTCACACACAT